ATGAAGTAAATACATACATTCTGTTGGCACAAATTCTGATGTTAAGTGATACTTAACAAGTACAGTGTTTATATTTTTATTACATTGTTAATACTGACCTGAGTAGGTGAGCACTTATACTTATTATTATTATTATTATTATTATTTCCTTTGAATTCTGTTGTATGCACATTTCCTTCCGGGCCCCAACCAGAGACCTAAGGTTAGAAATGGCATCATGACACTGACAAAAAATAAATAAATAAATAAATAAATTACATAAAGACCTTCGTGAAGTGTGGGCTGTACTTGTCAGAACAATTTTTGTATCTCCTTGAGGCATGGACTTCCAGGAATCCCTTCAATTAGTCTACTGCAATCTTTTCCAACCAGTCCTAGGGCTCCAACTACAACAGGGATTGTTGATGTTCCCATATGCCACATTTTCGAGATTTCTATTTCAACGTCCTTGTATTCTGACAGCTTTTTGAATATCTTCAAAGATACGTTGCAGTCAGCAGGGACTGCCATATCAACAAGGAGGCACCGTTTTTGTTTGTGGTCTTTAATAACAATATCTGGGCGGTTAGCTTTGATTGTTCTGTCAGTGTGCATTGTGTAGTCCCATAGAATTGTAACAGGTCCTATCTCCGTAACCGGGTCTGGTTGGTGTTCATACCAGTTTCTTTCAGTTTTCTTCCAGCAGAAGTTGCAGATTTTCCAGTGCAGATATTGGCCCACGCTGTCATGCCGGGTTTTATATTCAGTGGGTGCCAATATCGTGCAACCTGATACAAGATGATCAATCGTTTCGCCTGTAGTACTCTTTTTCTAGATATTTATCACAGAATCTGCATTTTGTCTGACACAATGTTTTAGTATATGTGCTTGATAATTCCTAGTTAGCAAGCACATAATTCCTGTGCAGCAAGGATAAAACCTTGAGTTTCAGCTTTCAACCCTGCACTACGTAGCCAATGATGGGTACGGGTTTTGTCTACGTCAGTTTGTTTGGTACGGGCAGGGTATTGGCGGTTTATCTTGCCATCGCTTCTGTATCTGGTCGGTTGCATTCGTTTTTGCTGTCTTTTTTAAGTATTTTGCAGTTTCAGCCGGTGTATTGTGCTGTAGTTGCATCTCTACGCTCATTTGAAACTCCATTTTGAATTTGTTAGCTTCTTTTATTACGGAGTAAAGACGCTTACTACTTTCATGTTCCTTGACGCATACCATAATCCAGTCTTCTGTAGTTTCCAAGTATCTTTGGAGGCCAATTGTTGTAGTTTTGTAGGACAGTTCTAGTTGAACTAATCATCTACCTCCTTCGGATCTGGGCACATACAGACGATCAACATCAGCTTTGGGATGATGCATGCGATAGCAAGTGAGAAGCTTTCTCGTTTTGGCGTCCATTTGCTTAATTTTAGCTATGATCCAGTTAAGGACATTACAGCTGTATTGCACCACAGGGACAGCCAATGTGTTTATGGCCGATATTCTGTTTTTTGAGTTTAGCTCAGTATTTAGTACCAGACGTACACGCCTGTAGTACTCTTTTCTTATTTTTTCCTTCATTTGGGGGTGTTGTATGCCATTTCCTTCGCTAATTCCTAGGTACTTATAAGCTTCATCATGCTCCAGTTCCCTAATCTTTGTGACAAAATCTAAATCTATTAAGGGTGTTTCTGTAATTCTACCTTTCTTGAATGTTACTTTTGCTTATTATTATTATTATTATTATTATTATTATTATTATTATTATTATTATTATTATCCAGCTGTACGTTTTTCTTCAGATGTTATAATGGCGGATACACATATTGGGATTCTGTCATTGTTTTAAGCATTATTTAAAACTGGGTTTCAAATTTGCTGAAGCTGCCCGTAGAAGTGGAAGTGGAAGGAAATGAAACAACATCTAATCATACAGTCCAAAAGTGGTTTATTCATTTTAAAGGTGATGACATGTCCCTTGAAATAAAACTCGCAGTTGTCGATTATGTTGCATTAAAAAAGTTAGAAGGAAATCTTGTCACCAGGATTCGAAAACATTCAGAACCAGAAACATCGAAAGATACCATACATAAGCTTGAAACATAGATTTGATTAAAAAATATTTTTAATACTGACACATATACTACTAAATTCGGTGCAAAAATGTCCTGGTTTATTGAAAATAACTTTTAATTATATAAATTTATAACATAATACCTTATCAATATATTTTAGCTGCCTTTTTATGAACTGATGTCAACTTTCAGCACCTTTCGGTTGGTTGCTTTTTTTTAGCGGCATATCAACCTCTATAGGTTAAAGGTGAAATTTCTTTTAGGGATAGAAATGGTTTTGGTGATAAAAGCCTTACTAATTAATCCATAAATGTGGTGAGAAGAGGTGGATTTATACCTTTACCAAGGATATTTACACGTAAGTGAATATAACGAACCCATCAGGAATTGGATTCTCCGATTAAAAATACCGAGCCATTATCGATAACACCACCCGCATATCAAAGCTTACAGCACCTGATATTCCTGTGCGGTCTCCCTACTGGATACTGACCAGCCTCGATATTACTTAACTTTTGTGATCGTACAGTAACCAATGTCTAAACATGATGTGGCCGTAAGCGTAGCAATTTTCAGATATGTCATTATAAAAGAACGGTTACATTTTTGAGATCGATTAATTCTACAACGAAAATTTGGCTATCTTGGGTTTGCTGAGTGGACAAAGACTGAAGGCGGAATATCTGAAGAATAAGTCACCTGTGAAAGAAATTTCTGAATCAGTTCTGCAATCGCTTTGCACTTCCTATTTGCAATTTGAAATTTACATTTTCTCGCAGAAAAAAGTAAATGGTTGACTTCTTTGCCTAACGAACCAATTCCTCGCCGTAATGTTGTCTAGTAACACTTTGTTTAGGTTCTAACAGTTCTTAGTTAAGAATTCCTTTTTAATCACAGAGAAACGTTTTCCCACAATACCCTGTATTTTTTATTAGCATGAAGCATATAAAGATAAGTGACAGCAAATGCGACGCTGAGATCCGAAGACGTATTGGGATGCCCAAAAACGCATTCTAAAATCTAGACAGAGTATTACGAGACAGGAGGATTTTGTTGGTAACAAAGAAAAGAGTACTGAACTGCTACGTGATATCTCTCCTCCTTTACGACAGCGAATGTTGGACCTTCTCCTCAAATATGAAGAAGGGACTCAAGGCAATAGAGGTGTGGTTCTACAGAAGGATGCTAAGGATACCATGAATCGAACATGGAAGCAATGATGAGGTTTAGGAAAGGGTGTAAATAAAAAGGAAACTCATACTTAATATCAGGAAGAGGCAGCAGGAATTTCTGGGATACGTAATGAGAAAAGAGGGGCTTGAAAATCTGATACTCACAGGGCGGCTAGAGAGAAAAAGAGACAAGGGAAACCAACGTGTGACATTTTTAACGGTCTTAAGCAAGTGGATGGCAGAATAGGGTCGGGGAGAAATAGCAGAAAGTCAAAGCTTATTGAGATCTACAAATGGCAGGAGGAAATGGAGAGCCATGATCGCCTACGTTCTGAAGGGACAAGGCACTAAAAAAGAAGAATCAGATTTTAAGTATGGTCCTATTTTTATTTTTAATCTTCAGTTTCTTATAACGCATGTTATAGAAAATAACTGAAATTTTTAACACCGTGTTTATATTTTAAACCTAAAATGCATATGAATTATTTCATATGCATTTTAGGATCCAAACTTGAAAATTTACTAAACCTAACCAAACTAGAATTACATGCTGCTAAAATGTGTTCTTTCTGTTTCGGTTAAGTAGTTCTAGTTTGTCTTGGATCTAAATGTTACTTCCTTCCTCGAGGACTATCATAAACAGTGAATTTAGTCATTGGTAGTGTCTCTCCTGTTCAAAAAAAAAAAAAAAAAATTAGAACGAGAATGAAAAACATTGATAGTTGTTGGTTTTGCTAATTATTTTACTTGTTTCAGAATTTGCTATAAAGTTTGTATTTGATTGATTTTTTAAAACCATTCGCCCCAGGCAAAGTAGAAAAAGTCACTAAGACACTGAGCGTGTGAAAGACTAAGAAAAAAGAGAAACATTATTAAGGAGCGGTAAAAATTAAAGAAGACGAATCAAGAAGACAGTAGATAACGATTGTTATTTCATTTAAATTTTGAAGATCAAAGTTGGTTGGAAGAGAGTTTGGCATAGAACTTACGGTTACATCTAGCCAATTCAACTGTAAATTGATGAGACCTTGCCACCAAACAAGTCAATCAGTAATGTGCCATGCCTGATACACGCTTAGGCGATCATGTATCATTCGATGGTATGACGTCATGTATGACGAGGTAGATTTTTTCCCGCAGTAAGTAGACCAGTTGCCATCCAAGGCTATAGAACCTATTTACCCATAGCATTGGGGAGAAGAGCAGGATTCAACCCTATTAGTGAATCTAATGGATCTGACTGGAATTCGAACTCGGCTTTCCGATTCCTCAATCCGAGCCACTATCCATTACTCCACCCAGCCTCCATGTACTGCACTGAAATTCATAAGTAGCATAGCGAATAGTTCAACCAAGAAATTACCACGAAAGCATTTATAAAAAAAGGCCTAGGGAAGCTACATTATGGCGGTTGGAGAGTGACTGAAGCCGAGACGAATTAATTGAATTAACAATATTTTGAGAATAACAGTGATTTTTCCAGATCCAGTGATTTTCCCGCATTATTTAACCCAAAACTCGAAGGAAGGAGATCTGAAGTTTGGAAGAAATATTCTATAAATGATTGCAAAAAAGTAAAGAACTAAGTACAGCTTGTAAGCAATTTCTCGGATATTCTTCCGTTCCTTTGTTGAACGTACACCTAGTTTTTCCTAGTTTTGTTCACACCGATGCAGACAGGAATCGAAGCACATTTTATAGGTTAAGTAGTCAAGCTAGTGATAAAATTGATCAATTGGCGCGTTGAAGCAAAGCTAAATTTATGTAAAATCCTACTTACCTTTGCGTTACACATGAGGGTAACATTATCCCCTTTCTTTGCTTTTTTATATTCACTCGTCAGAACTGTTGGAACTTTGAAGAAAAAGAGAAAAGAAAATCATTAGAGCAAAAGTTTTTAAACATAACTTAGTATCAATTCATTTAAATAATGAAACAAATTTGTCACTAAACCAATAAGAACGTTTCTCTTTTATGTGCCGTTTGCCTTCAGAACGTTGATGATCATGACTCTCCACAACTTTCTAAATTCTTAGAAACCTTTGTCTTTTTGCTAACCGTCTCATTCTTATTCTTATTAAGCTTATGTAAACAGATACAGGGGTTGGCAGAGATAGTAAAAAAAAAAAAATCCTAAAAGCTACAGAAGGTAGGAAGTTGGGGAGAGACATGATCACCAACGTCATGAATGGACAAAACACATATAAAAAGAAGATATGCTTAAATATCGCGGGTGCTAAAAGATACCCGCATGCAATCACATATGCATCTAGTCATTTTTGTAATACCCACATAGATTATACAGGGTGCGATGGGTAAATTTTTGCCATATTATATTTTTTTTCGCGCATGCGCATTGTTTGTTTTTGATTTTGTCAGTAGGGTCAGTTGGGCATTGTCTGTGAAAAGGAGAAACATGACGCAGTTCACTCTGACAGAAATCTGGAACGGCATGATTTACTGTTTTGAATTCGCGCTCAAAGCTTCAATACGAACATTTCAGAGTGTTTGGGTGTCAATCTGAGGATAGTTCAGAAGATTCGGAAAGAGTTTGATTATTCTAATGTTGATTATGAAGGTACGGTCGTTCGGAAAACTCACTCTGATCATTCTGATGAGAAAAGAACTTCTAAATTTGTTGGTGAAGCCATCAGACTCAATACGGAGGCAAACATCAAGTGCCTTGAGAAGGTAGTACTGCGCTGAGTGAAGAGGGTGGCTGCTGTTAGAACCTATGTCTGGCAAAAGGAATCTGCATCATACCACACTAGCAGGAGAACCCAATCATGGCTGTCAGCCAATGTTTTGCGATCACATCACAACCTTATAGACTGAAATCCCCTTGATTATTGTGTGGTGTGTATTTGAACGAGAGACCAACACAGCTTGTTGTAACACCAAAGATGAACTGAAGGTAATGATCATGGCAGCATTCACCAACTTAAACAAGTAACCCGTCCATGCAGGAGATTCCGAAGTCGTTTGGAGGCCGTGGTTGAAGCCAGTTTGCGATTCTATTGAATAAATTTACTTTTCAGTATTTCAAGATATTTTTGTGTAATTTATGGTAAATATATGTGTTAAAATGAGATGCTATTTTTCTTTTTGCGTAATTTAGACAACAGTTTATACATCGTCCCCTGTGTATATATTCTGTATATTAGGTAGATCCAATAATTAGATTCATTAGTTTTATCGTCAAATTGTTTACGTTATTATTAAGAGGGAAGACCAAATTATTTTTTCATTATTTTATTAAATTTTTTAATAATTTCTAGAAATTTCAAAATTTTGGTTAAATATCTTGTTTTTATTGCGTCAGGGCGGATAGCAAATATTTGTATTAGCGCCTTTTTCCCGGTAAAAAACACAATTACAGTGTAACCCGGACATAAGAGACCCGGATATAAGAGAAACCCGGATATAAGAGAGATTTTCTCTCGTCCCAAATTAGAGCCCATACTTACCTAAACAAAATAGACCAAACCCGGATATAAGAGAAACCCGGATATAAGAGACTTCTCCGGTCCCGACAACTCTCTTATATCCGGGTTATACTGTATTTGAAAATTCTTGCAAAAAAAAAAAAAAAATAATTGTCGAATTTTTATGAAAGTTTCAGGACTTATTCACAAAAGAATAGATTTATTTTAGAAATTATCTTTTATAAAATCTTGGTAGAGATATTTTTTTTTACATTTGTTTCACCCACCTTACGTAATTAATGACATTTTGAGAAATTAAATATTTTTTTCCCGTTTCATATTTATATTAGTTAAAACGAAGACACCTTGGAGAATGTAAATTATCAATATTTTTTTCGATTAGTAGCAAATTTACCGAAAAACTGCTCTGAATCCTAAAATAAAAAATCAAACAAACACATTATTTAATTATAAAAACATTTAATTGTTTTTATGAATAAGATATATTATGGAAACTATTGTCTTAAGAAAAACATTTTTTCGAAAATTTTAATTAGAATAATTTATAAAGTTTTAAACCTTTTAAATTTCTGTACAGGTTTTTAAATTTATGTACGGGTTATGTGATATTGTTATTAAGTCAAAATTATATTTACTAAGCATAAATTGAAAAGCTTAGTACAAATCATCACGCACCAATATTTTGAAAAGAATTTTGAGTTTCTTTTTTATATGTATAAAAATGCAGAATTTCTGTTATAAGGTCGATCGTACTCGACATTATAAAAAAAAAAATAAGTGCGATAATTATATTAACTTTTCAGCCAAAAAATATTTAAAATTCAACAAAACATTAAATTACGGAGAGTATTTTCTTAAATTTTATGATTACTGAGTACTTAAAAATTATATATAGAAGACGTTCACGTTAATTCAATTACTTTTTTAATGCCTCTTTAGGAATAACATGAGATGAATATCAATCTGTCAAAAAGTTGTCAAACTAGAGGACGCCTTAAATAAACAGATTCTGTTGGGTTAAAAAAATTCATTTTTGCGATATTTTAAACTTAAAGTAAATAATAGATGATTCAAATCAGACTCATTATAGTTTACATCTGCTAATATTCTTCAAATAAAGTTTCAGAAAAGTTTTTTTTTTCTTTTTTGGACGTTTTTTTTTTAATAAAGAGAATTACACTGTGAGAAAAGACGATAAACAGGTATTTTAGCAAAAGAAAACAAACCAATTTTTTCCAATCAGTTAAAATTAGCTTTAGATTAGTTTTTGAAATATATCAAAGTATTTTACTTATTGGAAATATTAAATTTAATCTATTAGCTTGAAATTAAATTTAAAATAAAAGCTTCAAGAAAGATTTTTCATTTAAAAAAAATTCATTTTAAACCTTAGGTATCGGGTTTTTTCTTATTTTTTGGATGTACCTAACACACACACACACACACACACACACACATATATATATATATATAGATAGATAGATAGATAGACAGACAAATATGGTAAAATATGATATAAGGTTTGCTATATTAATGAGCTAATGTGGATAGATAGAGCGTATGTAAATATATAAGTAGACACTGATGTCAACACCAATGGCGACATTCCATTTCATAGTGGAAATATATATATATATATATATATATATATATATATATATATATATATATATATATATATAAAGACATTTTATGTTTAACGTTCTTTTTTATAGATACAAGTACTTAAGTAAATGCTCTGTTTATAATAAATGATATTTAATACTGTTTATTATAAACAGAGCATTTACTTAAATATTTGTATCTATAAAAAGAACGTTAAACATAAAAATGACTTTAATAAATAAATTGTCGGACTTTGTCCATTTCTTAATATATGACGTCATTTGTTTACATTTGATACGCCATGAGCAGTTATGAATGTACGAGATTCATGGAAGATTGAAGTTTATAAGCAGTAAATTCAACCTTGCCAACCGAACGATCCTTTGTGGCCGAGCGGTCAAGGCACGTCAGCGTAAATGACGTTTCCGTATAGGATGCAGGTTCGAATCCTGTCAAAGGACGAATATTTTCTATGAAAATTTCTCGGACATTCAGGCCGGTAAATGGTATTTAATACTGTTTATTATAAACAGAGCATTTGCTTAAATACTTGTATCTATAAAAAGAACGTTAAACATAAAAATGTCTTTAATAAATAAATTGTCGGACTTCCTTTATATATATATATATATATATATATATATATGGAAAGAGAGGGACGGAAGACGGAGACGCGGTTTGAGTATTTGAAACAGACTTTTTCAAGCCCCATATATCCCACTGAGGACTATGGGTCTACACCTTTCAACATGTTAAGCGTTACTGATGTGGTTTCCGTAGTAAGTATGCTTTACGTGATGGTGTTTTCCCCTCCAATAGACTGGCTGTAAACCAAAGCTGAAGAACCAAGTCTATTCATCCCATACCCTTGAGGAGAGGAGATGGAATCATACCATTCCAAATTAATTGAGTAATTGTGTGAAAATGAACATCCATATTTCAAACAGAATAAGACCTGTAAATGGTTTACTCATGAGTTAAAATGTTGTTTGTATTCCTACTACTTGGGTATCGATAAGTGTTTTCAGATTTAGACTCGGTAAAAAGAACCGCTACGTCATGGAACAGACTCCCGAGAGGATACTTCCCAAACCACTACAATCTTAAACTTTTAAATTTTAGAGCTAATCTATAATACGTATCCCTATAATCTGCTCTTACTTCCTCCTTTTATGTTCATACAACAACCTTATTTAGTAACCCTCTACTTTGGGTGGCTCTTGGGCATTGCGAACATTTAGTAAAAAAAAAAGAAGACTTTCCTTTTGCTGTCAGACATTATTTTCTCGCTGATAATTTTCTTGTAATAATTCCCACATATCTGCTACTTGTAACGACGTTTCATGCGTTTCAGTTGGTAGTCTCACAGTTTATTTGAATCCAAAAGTGCTAGTCTGAAATCAGAGATTTCCTTTTTTTCCCCTTTCATGTAACAAAGAAACAAAGTAAAATTTGAACACGTGACCAACAGGGAATGGTCCATCTTTGAGCTACGCATGCTGTTTTAGGTCAAGTATTAATTGGGCTGAATAGAGGCGGAAAAAAAGGATCCACAAAAATTGGTAATCAATTGGTTTAATTTGCATAATTATCATCGTAACGTGAGAGCTTAGGTTGTAGTATGCAAGTGAAACAATGTTTAGCAAGCTTCTGGTTTGGGTAGGAAGTACTTAGGTTGAGAGAGGAAGCTAGTAATGGACGAATGATTATGAACTTATAATTGGTGTACTGGAGTGGACAAGAAAAATGAAGACGTAAAACAGACAAATATGTTCAAGTGTTTGTCTGCTTTACGTGTGGTCG